GCAACCGCTGATTATGTTTCTTACCTCCCAATTGTTTGATGGTTCAATCCCAATTTGTTGATGCTAAAACCTCCAAATCTCGCATTTCCCCTGGCAAAATCCCCATTTTTTCATGGTTTCTGTGGTAAAATCCCCATGTTTGTCCCATTTTTGATGGTCACATATTTTTGATGGTCACATCTCCTCAAATTCCCCAGATCATCGATCAGCCGCGCCTGGTCCCGTAGCATGGCGACCAGCCGCCCCAGCGGCCCCGAGTGTAGGGCCAGGTCCGGCCGCAGCACGGCCACCTCCAGCGGCATTTTCCTCTGACCCCCAGGGGATCAGATTTTGATCACTTAGATGGGCCATGGAGTTAGTTAACTACTTCGTAAATGGATTATAATTGGGATTGTTTGGGGGTTATATCCCCAGTTACTAACCAATTAGCTAATCCCATGGCCCACCTAAGTATTGACCCTAAAAATAGCCAGCCTGGTTTCATACTAGGCATGACCAGACATTTTGTGCTTCCAATGGGTCGTTCAGAAATGACATGACATGAAATGACCCATACCGTAGTCAACTCCCATGGGCGCACCCAACGAGCCAGCAACATGGCCAAGGGAACGTCTCGTCTTAGGCGTGCAGCCACGTTGGCCCTTGATGGGACGAAAGTTGGTTTTTGGAAAAAACCTTGGGGAATGGTAGGTCAATTCCAAGAATTGGTTGTAAAATTTACATGACCCCCTACATTCAGATGTAAAAACAATTAACATCAATTAAAAATGGTTTTCTGAAAAAAAAGAAGAACATCCTGAAATCAATGCCAAGCCAAGTGTAAGTTGGGTTGATCTGGGTTGCATCGGAGAGTCCGCCGGAACTCGAAGAGGCCAGGTGGGAGATATGTCGACCAGAATCAGTGGATTCCACTGGTCGTCCATATTCGTAGGAGAAATAAGCCCATGTGTCCTAGGGGTTATCCATATTTTTTGAAGATACATGAAAATACCAAAGAAACACCCTGCTGGGGTCTGTCTCTATTAGTGTCCGCCATAACTATTTCATCCAATGTATATAATTCTCTCCGATTCATATGAATCACACTAAAGCCCCCCATTTCATTTTTTCCACTCTTGCTGAAACATAACTTACCATTCCACCAGCCAGAACGGTAAAATAAACTTCCCATAAACCTGAGAAACTATAACTTAAATGATGTCCCACTCTTGACAAAACAGGAACCACTCAAAGTCAAATGCCTATGCAACCTCCCATTTTTGAAAGTCAAATGCCTATGTAACCTCCCATATTTTTGACTTCCTCTCATTGCAGAGGGATCTTTGAACCCTGCCATCGACTGGGGTCTCCAACCATAACCAGCCAAGCCAGGCTTCCTCCTCAGACACCAATGAGGTCAACTCGACCTCACGAGACGAAAGCAGCCCGGTTTTATGGGGTAAAAGCAACTAGAAAAATTGGAGTAAAACCCTACCAAAATCACCAAGATTATTGGGTAAAATACTATTGTTCTATCGTTTTTTGATTCTTCTCCGGAGTTTTCTATAAATCTCTGACAGTTGATTCTACGCAATTTATGCTACAATCGCATTGGCTGATTGAGGGTGAAGCAAGGCCCTTGAAAAGTCTAGGTGTTGGAGAACAGTCTTCCCGGAAAACAGACAATGGGCAAAGTCAAAATGCCTACATTTACTCCACCAAGCTTGAACATGATATGGGTTTGTCCGAAAAGAGGGTGCCCCAGTCAATCCACCGGTTCACCCATCATATTCCCTACAGAAAATAGCTATTCCTGTAGACAAGACAGGCCCATAATTAGTCAGAACTCAGAACTAAGATGTGCCAGCAGGTGATGGCCTCTGAGGCGCCACACCCAAAGGTTGTGAGCTTCCGGAGGCCTCGGACATGGAAGACATGGCATGGTCATCTCTATCATCTCTTGATTCAGATAGCAACCAAACAACAAAGAAGGTGATATCATGGGAGAAATATGGGAAGATATGGGAAACATGATGGTTTAACCATGTTTAACCATTAGAAATCGATAGAAACGCTGGTTTCATGGGACTTTCATGGGATTTAATGAGGAATATAATCGGATGTCATTTCTGGTAATCATTTCGGTGGCTGGTCGGAAAATCCTGGGAGCTGGGAAACCCCATCTAAATGGTGGATTTTCCATTGCCATCTTGACTACCGGAGGGTAGATGTTGGTAAAATGATCTTTTTCTGCGGGGTTACTGTACTGGTTTGTTGGTAGGAGTTTCCTTAACGAGTCGGAGAAATCTCCCCTAAAACCAAGTAGTAGCTGCTACCCTCTAGTAAACTGACATAGCTATTGAAAATCACCATTTAAGATAGGTAAATCAACTATACATGGCCAGTTTCAATAGTTATATGTTAGTCATTGCCAGAGGGTAAGCCTATGATATCCAGCAGGGGTCAATACCGGTCACCGGCCCCAAGGATACAGATGTGGAACATGGGGAAACCCAAGGACAATGACCCTCTGGTAAACTACAACATAGTAATCGCTATTGAACATGGTCCATTTATAGTTTATTTACCTATTAAAGATGGTGATTTTCCATAGCAAACTGTTAGTTTACCAGAGGGTATCTCCATCCATGGTTGGTAACCTCCACATCCAGTGGTGATCAACCAGTGACACCCTGCAGTTCACACCAAAATAGTTGGATAGATCTGGACGTTCATCCTCCAACATCAGTTATGTTTTGACTCACACCCATATCACCACGTGTTTGATGCTTCAGACCCATCTTCCTTGGTGCATATCCCAACATGCTGCTACTCAATCTTCTCAAATATGTCATATCTAAATATGTCTAACGGTCAAACCCTTTAACCTGGCCAAATTAGTTGGCTCGGCGAAATCAGGACTATCCCTCTACTTAGATCGGCCATGGAGTTAGTGAACTATACTGGCTATGCTTAGTAAATATACTTAGTGAACTATATTGACCCAGTACTGACTATACTTTAGTGATAGGCCCTGGATTCGTAAAATGTTGGATTTTGGGCGAAACCCCATGGCCGCCGTGGCCGCCGTGGCCATGGCAGGTCCATCGGCCATGGAACTGCTTAGTGAGTCGTTGCCAGACCCAGCGCGCTGCCACAGCCTGAAAGGGGCTCTGGAACCTCCAGACCCCAGATGGCTTAACATATGGATTAAAGACAATTAAAGATGGTGAATAGGGCTTGATGTTGATGAATATGGTTGATGAACATGGGTGAGGAATATGGTTGATGAATATGGTTGATGTTGATGAATATGGTTGATGTTGATGTTCCCCAATGATGGTTGATGTATAGGGGTAATGCACCTTTGGGGTATGAGAAATAAGCTATTAATTACAATAGCTGCTTTGGAAGTATTCCCGTCGCAACAGATATCAAAAAATGAAAGTTTAGTTTTAAGCTACCCAAACACTGCGGTTTACCCATCATAAGTAGACATTTTTTCTGGAACATCACACAATTGTGGATTATTGGGGATTAAAAAGCCTATCCACCTGTGGATGAATGACCCAGCAAAAATAGTCATTTTCCAGGAAGCTGCGAAAGTTAACCAATTGTGACTGTGGCATATGTCATCGTAGAACACCAATCTGGGAATGTCACAAAAGGCCGAAAATCTACATGTGTGGCTACAATCCATTCGGATAATATATATATATTGTACACTTGATATGTTCACTACTTTAGGGACTCCCAGTTACATTAGTACCTATGATTGTAATTTATTGTATACACCTGGAACTCCAGGTACTTCATGATTCTTGGGCGATGTTAGGTTTGGGCCTCGCCAACTGTTCCGTGTTATATTCCAACTTGTTCTACCACTCTAATGGTTTGGATACTCTATCCTGATGAAGATTATATTCTGAATATATGTGTCATGTAGCTATGTGTAAATATGTTGAGATACTAACTTATTTTAAGTCACATGCTATGTTGAATAGTAGGTGGTGAACTTTATTCAAATATTGAGCCTCTGACGTTCTTAAAATTGCATATGTCCTTAGTATAAACATTGGGGAATGTTAGTATAAACTAGATGTGGCTTCTAACTTATGACAAGCAGTAAATGATCTATGTTTGAATCTTAGCATGTTTTGTTTTAAAGTTTAACTACTGAAATCCCTGGCCAAGTTTGAAACCTCAAGCCCTGGCCTGACCATCCAGAACCTGGCGCTTCGCTCACTTTTTGCCAAGAAATATCATGGTTTAAAGTAGGGGATGACATCACATATTTGGGCTGGGATCATACAATTGGGGTGCACCCGAATTGAAGTAGCTACGGCAGCTATGGAATCATGATGTTTAATAGGTAAACCATCATAAATCGTCTATAAATGTGCCATTGTTCATAGCAAAGTGGTAAATAACCAGAGGGTAACTCATATGAACGGGGGGATGGGATTCACTGTTTGCGAACTGGAAGCCATGGCCCACTGATGATTTAGCCAAAAGATGTGGTTTTCTGAAGAATGTGGTGTTTATCCCAAAAGATAGCCATTTTATGTTGGGAAAAGGATGATAAACCAATATAAATAAACCATGGGATTTGGGGGTATCCTATAGACCCAAATTAGACAGTCCACAAACCAACCCCCTGCGTTGAACCAAGAACAGTTCTTGACCAACAGCTACTGTATGGTCTCGTAAAGTTACGATACTACACAGCGTTTTTTTGTGTCTTGAAAAATATAAAGATCATCAAGGTATCCATGTCAAATAGTCTTTCCAAACCTTGAACTCGGCACAGTCACTTCGTCCATTTTTTCCTCATGTAGTGCTCAGCCACTTTGTGCTGGGGCATGCGATGACTACAGTACGCTACATGACACTACAACTTGCTTCATTGGAAACCCATCTTTGGACGGATTTTGGAGGTCCCTAGGTTCAGTGTAACAATCCGCTGAGTCCCTGAGTCCCCAATTGTTCTTTCCAGTTATCTGGATAAATCCAAACAATTCCCCAACCTCAAAACGTTCGGCCATGTTTGGGGATGATTCCCCCCAAAAGCATCATTTGCAGACGTCCGACAGTTCGATCGTTACAATTTATCCAGGAATAAGATTCTGTTTGTAACTCTGGCGGCCATTTTGCGATCCGTGGAGCAGCAAGCTGTCGCTCAGCCAACATTAGGCGATGACGCAAATGTCACACTGCTCATCATGACTACTGTCCTTAGAGGGCTGAAGCGAAAACTGAGTCTTCGCCATTGCTAATGATTCATAATCCATCGCTCATCCCTTCCCTTGACAACCCCCAAATATATACATCATGTTCTATATATGTATAGTACAACATAGAATTGCATTAATTACATGGCGTTCATGAGGGATTAAGGCCACCATAATTTTTTGCCGTATCCCAAAATGTCCAAACCCTACCAGAAGTCGCTACTGCAGTCTGAATCGTCGCAGTGTTTGCAAGCCTGACCAGGAATCTGACAAATCTGACAAAGCGTTGGTCACAAATTCACAAAGGATGTCAATGTCAGTTACGTCAATTCACATCACGGTCACATATTCTACATATACCTTCGGTAATCAAACGTGGCAATGGAAAATCCTGCATTTATAATCGTTATATAATAGTTGATTTTCCCACTAAAACCCCCATTGACAGGGGATTTTCCAACCCGCCACGTTTGACTACCGGAGGGGATTCAGACTATATCATGTGCGTGCAAAAAGTCAACCTGACCAGGGATGGTAAATGGATCCATTCCAACGACAAAAAATCAAAAGGAATTACCATCAGTCTAACTAAGTCTAACATGGCAATTGGTTTTTTTTCATGAGGAAATCATCTACAAATGCAGATGTAAGGGGTGGATGTTCATGATTGTTGATGGATTCCCAGATTTTCATTGCCACTGCTCTCTTAAATTTTGAAATTACCAGGGTTTGCCAATTAACAACCCTCAAAATGAACCCAAAGCATGATCCAGCAGATATCTGGCAGCATCATCAGCATCATCCAAGTTAGTAGCTGGTTACTAAATCAAGAACCATTCATAAGCCCAGTTATCCCACGGCATGCTAGGCCGCATAGATCCCCTGCAAAAATTTCCGTCGTTCTATATGGGACGGGTCAAAACCGATTATTACCATATGACTGGGGGAATAACCATCCATTGGCCTGCTATTCTGGGGTCCGTTTGCGTCCCAGGGTTTTGACTCATAACCAAATCTTGCGAAAAAAATACTTTACGTCGAGCGATCCCCACCGTGACAAATTATTTTGTCATAGTTACTGACATCACATCTGGAAGTATACAAAGAATATATGTTCGACATTCTTTTTTGGTATTCTATCTGACATCCTATTCTGACATTCTATTCGGGCATTCTACCTGGCATATAATCTGACACTATTCTGACATCCTATTTGGCATCTATTCTGACATTTCTTCGGCATTCTATCTGGCATCCTTTCTGAAATCTAGCATCTATTCTGACATTTCTTTGGCATTCTTTCGGAAATTGTATCTGACATTCTTTCTGGCATTCTATCTGACATTCTATTCTCGCATTCTATCTAGCATCTATTCTGCCATTCTATTCTGCGATTCTATCTGGCATTCATTCTGGCATTCTTTCTGGCATCTATGCGGGCATTCGTTCTGGCATCGTAGGGGAAATTTAAAGCTATATATCCTCATGCAGTCCTTTCGTCTGTTAGTTGTTGAAGAGATCCTGAACCAAGATTACCCGTGCTGATATGGTAAATCCTTCGTGAAGAAAAGTGACGGACCTTGCGTTGCAAGGATGGAAGTGACAAAAGATTCTGAGGCATTGGCTGGATTGTCACCGTCACCGCCATCATTGAAGCATTACATCGCAGCACATCGCATCAGCAAGCGGGAATGGAACGTCATAAATGAATGTAAACGATGATATTTCCAGCAGGTACCATCTACGAGCCTCAGAGGTGTCTTGACAAAACGCTGAAAACGATCGATAATCAAACCAAAAAACTATGCACTGCGTACACCATAATCCTCGACGAAAGAACACAACCAAGATCAAGGATCTGCATGGATCCGTCACATCCACCACATCATATAACCAAGTCATATCAGCATTCCCTTCATATCTGCAACAGACCAGCTGCTTGGCCCAATTTGACCATCAAGCTAGACCAAGATTGCAATGTAAAAAGACTTCTCCACAAGATTGAATAACCTGCATAGTGACTTAGTGGTCATAGCTACTCGCAAGAGTAATATATTTCAATCATATACGGCACATGGCAACCTATGATGATTCTGAACAAATATATGGCAAGCCATCTTTTGCTTCCATTGTGCTCCACAGCTATATTCTTGTGCTTCTACTGCCGTCCTGGGATCAACTCTTCTGTCCGGGGCCTCGCAGAAGCTCTATCCATGGACCTAAATTTCCGGAATGGTTGCCTGACACCTCAACATGGAACCATGCGTCTTTAAAGGCAAGCTTCAAACACACAGGCCAAGCTGCTAATACTATACAATGTGTATCTGGTTCATGAAAACCAGAGAATTCACCCTCAGGAGGTTCCAAGTTCAAACCCTGGGAGCAAGATGATCAGAGTTTTGAAGTTTTGATTTTCCATTCCTACAAGCCTCGCTCTACTCCATGGTCCGAAAAGACAAGCATACTATAAGACCAAGTCTTTTGGGACATCTTTTCCCTAAGAAAACTAGCTTTACCCAAGCCTTCTGTTCTTCGCCTTTTTGCCATTGGTGACGTCCAGCTCTGAAGATCTACGGTGTTGCGCCACTTTGCAAACCTCAAAGGTTGCACGACTCGCTCTTGAAGACCAGCCCCACATAGTTTCAGTAAATAACCAGGACCACAACAACCAATGAGCGTTGAATAGAAACTCACAGCCCAAGGA